GGCAGGAAATATGGAGGCTAAGATGACAGAGACCAGGACAGCAGTTGACCGTGTGTGTTGGGGGCGGCAGTGGGGCACTGGGAGAGAGGAGGCTGACTACAGATGAGTGGCACGAGGAGATTTCCAGAGTGATAGAAACATTCTACGTCTTGACAGAGGTGTTAGTTACCCAGGGCAGTACGCCAATCCAGACTCACTGAACTCTACACTTAAGATCTGGGCAAGTTACTCTACATAAATCCTATCTGGATCTTTTTTTAAGTATATTTTTTAAAAAAGGAATAAGATGTTTCAGGGTAAAGGCATCAGGACTCAGGAGCAAAGACAGGTGGAGAGGGAGGAAGTAGTCAGAAGTGATTCAGTTGTCCGTCTTGGCCAAGGGAAGATAGCAGCGGGTGTCTGAGAATGGGTGGGAAAGAGCAGGCCTGCAGGGGAGAGGGGCTGCGAGTGGGAGGCATTGCCAGGGCTGTTAAATGTGGCTTCCAGCAGGGCATGTTAAACTGAAATGCCATCAGGCAGCCACAGGGCTGTGTCTACCTCATAGGTTCCTGGGCCATCCCCACAAGATCCTAAGTGTACATATGACAGTGACTCAGGAGCCACCACACAGGGCAGAGACAGAAGACATCATTTAAAGACCCCCGCTTCCTTCCGGCTTCCCCTAGGGACATCTTAGCATTTCAGGCCGACTCTGCTCCAACAGTGGAACAGCCTTGCCTTTTTAAGCTCTACAGAGTTGGAGGTACAAGCGTAAAGCGCTTGACTTCCCATCAGTACTTAAATGGCAGCCCTTGCACTGACTCACTCAGGAGCCTGGTGTGACTCACCAGTGAGCCAGCATTTCATGGGTCAGGGTGGAAACCCAGCAGAAGGATTCTATTTTTATCACATCGTGAAAATCTAACTTGAACCAACTGTGGTCCCTTCATTCTTCCCCACGAAAGTGCTCTCATTTCATTCATTTATCCACTCATTCAACATACTAAGACAGAGCTTTCAGTGATGCAGGCAACTGTCTTGGGCTGGGATATAATGCAGAGCAGGTGATATGGATCCCACAATCATGGAACTTACAACCCGGGGCCCGTGGACTCCAGATGGCCTTTGGATGAGTTTCAACAAGACCATGACATGCCCCCACTCCAGAAATGGCATTGAAAATGTCAAGTGTATGAGATTCTTTCCCCTTTTGTGGAGAAGAGGACCCGTAACTTTTTATCGGGTTCTCAGAGAGGCATGTGGAATGTCTCCACCCTCACCTGTACTCCCTTCCTCGATCTACTCAAGTCCTGAAACAGCTGCAACCTCTACACCTCTCTCATTCTTTGAGATTCCATTCACTGGTGTCTATTGAAATATGGCTGAACACACCCTACTGCCTGCCCCCCCCCATACCTGGGATCTTAGATATACTCAAAATAAAAGGTACAAACTGCTAGAAAACAAGATGGGGTCCCAAAGGTAGAGTTGTAATTATGAGGACAGGTCTTAGAGACCGGATGGGATGAACTGAAGGAGAGAGGCTGGCCCAGAGTGCATCCAGGACAGGGCTGCTGAGAAAGTGGAGGTGATCCCAGGACATGGTGGATAAGGGGCTGGCTCGGGCTCTTCACCAGGGAGTGGTCAAAGAAATGACGGGAGGAAAATTCTCAGACCTGCAGAAAGACCAGTCCTCAGCATGAATGGTCCACCTCATGCTACGCAAACTGGGTGCAAAGGATCCCTTTCTAAATGCAGTGATGTGCAATTTAAGAACATAAAGTTAAAAGAAAATCCTAAAAGTTCCATAGGGAAAACTCAGATACCCTAAAAAGAAATGATAACCAGGTGATGTCACCCTCCTCCTGAGCAAGACTCTACCTGTAGCGTAAGGGACACTGTCTTCAAATTCTGGAGAGGAAACTCTAATTTTAAAATTAGAAGTCTGTGCCCTTCACATATGAGAGAGAGGAAAAGGCATTTTCAGACATGTGAGGCTCAGAAAGCTTACCACACGCCTCAGCCACCTGTGACCTAGGGAACTGGATGTACTGGGTGTGCCACAGCTCCAAAGCCTGGCCACCAGGAGCCAGTATGGTTAAGAACACGGAGTTTGAACTTGCGGCCTACTGCGATCCAATGGGAGCCCTCAAGCAAGGTGTGTAATTCCCGGAGTGCAGAGAACTTAGCTCAATGTCTGGCCCAGAATCCTCAACAGACACGGCTCAGTACTGATACCAGTAGTAATGTCGGGAGCACTCCCAGCTGTGGACAGAGGCTGGCTCATGTCCACAGCAGGAGCGTGTGGTCCTGTTTACGTGTCTGTTGCAAAGACTAATCATTTAAAATATCCTTTCTTCTTGACGTAGACATTCCCAGTAGTGATTAAAATATTTAAATTTGCACAGATTTCAATTAAATGTCCTTTATTTCAAAGCAGAGACATAGGTGGTATACTTATTCATAGTCATAAATGATACGAAGAAAGAAAAAAGTAAAAAAACAAAAAAAATAAATGATATGAAGTCAGGGCTAGGGGTATTTTAGTCTCCGAGGCTGCAGTCTAAGCAACAGAAATTAATTACTCTAGGTTCTGGAGCCTAGAAGTACAAGGTCAAGATGCCAGCAGGGTTGGTTTTGTTACCAACTTTGGGGTTCTTTGACTCATGTGTGTAGAAACAGACACAAGGCCAAGGATGGTGCGGGAAGTATTTTTTGCTAGCTCACCCCCCAGCTGAAGAAGATAGCCTTGGGAAAAGGGATACAGGGCTGCTCCCTGAACAATGGCCAAGGGAAATTTTTGAAAGGGCTGAGGTGGGAAAAGAGTCCAAGCTCTTAGGAGTAAGGAAACATGGAAACATAAGAAGCTGAGGGCATGGATGCAGTTGCCAAAACTTGCTTCTTCATACATCATATGCTTTATTTGCATGTTAAATCTCTACCTCAGGCATGATTTTTAGCATTATAATGAGGGGAAATTCTGTGGGAGGCCAGGGCTAGGGTCCAGTGCGGCTCTGACTGGTCTGGTCTGGTCCCTAGCTGGAGCAAGCCGATGGTTAAGTTGGGCCCTGGAGTTTATTTCAAGCTTCTGGCTTCTTGCTTCCTGGTGTCATGCTGCACGTGCCAGGTGGGCTAGAGAAATGGGTTATCTGAGGGGCCCGAGGTGTTCTTCAAGTTCATGTTCTACAAAAGAAGTACCTCAGAAAAGACAACTGCAAAGGAGCAGACATATATTTAAAAAGCTTTCATTTTGAAACAGACTAAAATTGTAAGATTAGGGCCCAAAGGCAACTTCATCCCAAGGTCTGCTTTTCTAGCCAGGCACCTAAGAATATCTATCTGGTTCAGTTTCTAGTAAGGTCTCTCTTCCTGACTGGCAGACAGCCACCTTCTCACCGTGGCTTCACATGACTTCTCCTCAATGTGCACATCGAGGGAAAGAGTGATCTCTCTCTCCTACTTCTTATAAGGCCACCCATCCTTTGGGATTAGGACCCGACCCTTATGACCTCATTTCATCTTAACTGCCTCCCAAAAGCCATATCTCCAAATATAGTGACATTAGGAGTTAGGGATTCAACATATGAATTTGGGGGGCATATAAGTCCACAGCAAGAGGCAAACTTAAAAGACAGATTGATTTGTCAGATTCAAACTTGATGGGATGAGCACTGGGTGTTATATGTTGGCAAGTTGAACTCCAATTAAAAAAAATATGTAAAAAAAAATCTGGCTGACAGATCAGTTGATTTGTTCACTCCATAAATATCCACTGAGCACCTACTATTGTCCATGTGCTGGCCTGGGTACTGGGCCACTGTGATGAGCAAAACCAGACATAACCCTGCTGCCTCATGGAGTGTACAGTCTAGCAGTGGTCAGTCATTCATCAAGCAACCACACCACCTAACCATGAAGGTAGCATCAACATGCAGGGAAAGAGGACAGAACCAGGGGAGATTATGACACATGGGCCCTGCCTGAGGCATGCAGGCACCTGGAAGAGAGAGACAGGAGCTAAGGAGGTGGAAAATCACAGGAAGAGGGAAAAGCAAGTCAGCAGAAGCATGGTGAGAGGTGGGAGGTGGAAGGTAGGAGTGATGAAGACCATGTGGAAGAAGCAATAGAGAGGAGGAGACCTTACCGACTCTCCAGGGCAAGCTAAGGAAGTGGGTTTTCATCCTGAGAGCAGCGGGCCACAATTGAAAAGTGTTAAGCAGGGGGGCGGCATGACCAAGATATGTTTTTGCAAGTCTCCCTGGGCTGCCTTGCAGAGAACAGACAGGGAAGAGGCCACTTGGATGTGGGACACGGGTGGAAAAGGTAAGAGGCAATGATTGCTTGGGTGAAGCAGGGTTTGACAAACTGCCTACCACCTGATTGATTTTTCTATAAATAAAATTCTACTGGCACACAGCACAGCCACGCACATCCATTCATGGATCATTGTCTGTGGTTGCCTTCCCACATGGGCAGAGGCAAGTGGTCCCACGTGGCCCTAGCCAAGTGCTGGGCTGGACTTCCAGAGTGGACATGCCAGGGGAGGTGACACCGAGGAGGTGTCTGAGGAAGGAAGCCCGCTGGCGCCTAAGGTATGCGTCCCATATGATGGCTGAGGGGACAGGAGGTGTCACGGGTGACTTTCAGGCTTCAGCCGACAGGGTCCATCCTCAGACACCCTCATTTATGATGTGTAAATATGAACTTAAAATAACGTTCAGCAAGTATGACATTTTGCTTTCGTGATGGCTATTTTTTTATATGCCTAGTTTTTCAAAAAGGAAAACAAAAGACTGCCATTTCCTCATGGGTCCCAGGGTTTGAACCTTCTGAGAATGTGAGAACGTCTCCTGCAGACACCTCATTCAGCACCGATTGCCTACAGAGTCCACGTCATACGCATGGTCGCCATCCGGGAATATTGATATAGGAATGGAGAGCTATAGAAGCCCATTCGGAGACGGTTTCTCAAGCAGTTTTGTGATTGTCTACTTGATGTTCTTTGTCTCTCCTTTCCACAGAAAAGTCTGGACACCTACTGTTTCCTGGTCTTTGCCACAATCTGCCTCACGGGTGCTGTCTATTTCTATTTTGTCCTGCCTGAGACGAAAAACAGAACCTTTGCGGAAATCAGCCAGGCATTCGCCAAAAGGAACAAGGCAATCCCACCAGAGAACACCAACTCAGCTGCATCTGATGCTAAGGTGACCAGAAGGCCCAAGCCAGACCCTGCCTCCACTCTGGACAATTGTGCCAAAAATGGGATTGTCTAAATGGATGATCTCAGCATTTCAGGAAACCAAAGTTTTCCCTACATGGTTAATAGTATTAAGTATTTAAAAATAAACCTTTGCTAATCTAACGTCACAACCATTTGGGTTTTATTCATAGATGAATCTCCAAAGTCTTCTGGAAGGCAGAAGGGATCAGCTTATATTTCAGTAGACCCACCCTTCTTCCATTTGGATCCATGGCCTGTCTTCTTCATGACTTCGCCCATGGTTTCAAAATGAAATTGGGGAAATAGCACTTGATGGCTTTCTCATAGGGAAGCAATAGTCTGACAGAGGACACAAGTGATGGAAACCACAGGTAGAGGTATTGGTTCTGGCTCTCCCATAAGTAGCCTCGAGCTGCCCTCAACCTGGATCCTGAGGCCTCAAGGGACCCTGGGCTTCGGTCCTAGATAAAGGTTTTCAGAATTCAGTGGAAAGACTCTTTGTACCTCCTAATAAATGCCTGTTACCAACCTCTGGCTCGACTTTGTGGACCTCGGGCTCAAGAAGCTGATACCAACCCACCATCCTCAGGCTCTGCCCCTCCCAGGCTATGTCCATAGAGCTGCAGACTTCCATCCCTTACTGTCTTCACCTCAGAGTATCAGATCTATCTCAGAAGGTATAAAGAGGATCAAGATGTGGGAGAAGTAACTTTCCAGTAGCTGGGGCAGGGACCCCAAAGTGAGTTCTGTTCAATTGAAAAAGGAATATTAAGAATGACTCAGGGCACCTGAGTGGGTCCATAGGCCAAATGACCTTCAGCTCAGAACATGATCCTGGGGTCCTGGGATCGAGCCCTACATCAGGCTCCCTGCTCAACCGGAAGCCTGCTTCTCCTTCTCTCTCTCTCTATGCCCCTGCCCTGCTTGTGTGTGCTTACTCTCTCTCTCTCTCTCTCTCTCTCTCAAATAAATAAGTAAAATCTTAAAAAAAAAAAAAACAAATTACTCGGAGGCTTAGCCTAGACAGGGCTAGAAGACAGGGCAGAAGAAGACCAATGTCCTAGCTCAGCCAGTAAAGCTGAAGGCAAAGTCTCCCTTCCTCTGCCCCTTTGCTTTCTATTCAAGCCCTTGACAGATTAGTTGAGGCCCACCCACAGTGGGGAGAGCAATCTGCTTTACTCAGTCCACCAGTTTAAATGCCAGTCTTTTCTGGAAGCACCCTCACAGACACGGCCAAAATAACATTTAACCAAATATCTGAGCACCCCATGACCCAGTCAAGTTGACACATAAAAAACCATTACAGATAGTGAGTTCACCATTACACGGAGTGCTCAGGCAAAGGTTGGGTGATTGCCTATCTCGATTGTTATTAAGGAAATCTAAGTGTCACTTGTGGAAGAAGGTGTTAGGAGTAAACTTTGAGGATTCTTCCAACCCTTGTGTGCTAGGGCTGTTTGGGTTGGAACAATGTGCAGCCCACCATGATAATCCATGCCTTGTGGTTTGAGTGGTTCCCTGTACTTGCCTTCAGAATGAAACAAATTCAAAATGCTCACATATAAATGAAAGTGCACATGAGTCAACATGCACGTGTTAGAATTTATGTAACAGCAGGAATGGGCTGGAGAGGAAATCTCTGGACATAGCAACACCCTTGGAAACCCTCAGCCACAATGCCTCAGGCTTTTCTGACCATTCTTGACAAGGGCAACCTTAGCCAAAATCTGAATTCTGAGTTTCCTTTTCCACTGAATACTCTATCCGCACTGAGCTTCTCCTTTGGTTGATTGCCAACTCAATGCACCATACTTCCCAGCTTTGGTTTCACCAAAAGATCTGGGTACTAGGTAGCTAGTGAGGACCCATCAGTGAGCAGGAAAGTACACTGCTCTTACCTGCATCCGCTCATGCCTACCATAGAAGACTGAAATTCAAAGAAGCATTAACAGTGAGGTGTCCCCTCAGGACCCAGAAGCCAGGAGACATAGCAAATAGGAACAGATCCCAGACCACTTCATCAGGGACCAGTGAGGGGTGAGGATCAGGAAAACCTTCCCAAACAAATGATGGTGATGAGATGTGGAACAGCATAACTAGTAGGCAGTAGGCTCGGAGTTACTCTTACGTGTTTCCACTTTTGAAAACTCAGCAGAGCAACATTTGTAAATGTTTGAAAGAGAAAACAGTATGGTGCCCATAATCTCACATGTTTCCATGTTCCCCTAACACTATCACTCTAATTTTTATCCATCTCCATCCATTTCTGGCCTTGATTTACATTGTGATAGTCACAAAACACATAAAACAATGATTTACAATTCTCTTGTCTCTTAGCCCCCATTTTTCCCACTTTCTGTTCAAACGCAGCATCTCTATTCCAAAGCCTTTCGATCACTCTCTAACATCGGCTGCAGTGAACTCTTCACGTACAGAGTTGTTTTACCGATGCTGATGGAGAGAGTGGGGAGGCAGAGAGATGGGCATTCCCTTGAGCCTTGCCACACAGGCCCTAGTGCTTGCTGACAGGTACTAACCATTTACAGCCCCCCATATCCATTTGTGGACCCTAAAGAAATCACTGCTCAAGCTAATAGACCTCTGTCCCAACCCCTGCCCAAAGATTAGGGATTAAGTCCTAGTCTTACTGTTTTACTTTATCCTTTCATCTCTAAGCCACAAGGGCTGACATCTCCTCTTTTCGGGTTCACTGAAAGAAAGTAACTCTTCCAGCCTCTGGGTCTGGCTAAGATGAAATGAGCACACTCCGCTCTATTTCCCTCACTGATGATGATAACCAAAGCCCCTGGATAGAATACTTAACCCAGATCTATGAAAAATAAATGATAGCAGCAAATGGAGGAGGCCCATCAAAACACACAGGACAGCCTATATGGCAGTGAGTTTTCTGCATTTGTTTTCCTCTCATATCTCCTGACTTAAACTCCAGGACAGGCCAATTCCCAGAGCCACACAGTCAGTGCCACAGAGGAAGCTCCAAGAGAAACCCTCCCTGTCTGCCCAGAGGCACCGGGGGACGGGGTGGGTGACCCTCTGGGGAAAGAATATAGGGGGAGGTGAGGGAAAGTCTTTCAAGAGTAACAAGTTCCTCCCTTTTCTGGCCTTGAGGCCAGCTCCTGTCATGAAGCTGAATTCCTGGCGTTGGCAGCAGTGGCAGCCACAGAGAATGGTGGCCTTACTCTTGCATATATTCACCTGCTCTGGGCTTTATAAGCTGGTGCTTATCTTTAAAATATGAAGCACTGGGGATCCCTGGGTGGCTCAGCGGTTTAGCGCCTGCCTTCGGCTCAGGGTGTGATCCTGGAGACGGGAGATAGGAGTCCCACATCGGGCTCCCTGCATGGAGCCTGCTTCCCCCTCTGCCTGTGTCTCTGCCTCTCTCTCTCTCTCTCTCTCTCTCTCTCTCTCTCTCTGGGTGTGTGTGTGTGTGTCTCATGAATAAATAAAATATTTAAAAAATAATAAAATAAAATATGAAGCACTACGCCAGGAGGGCAGGAGCCATGTCTGTTTGACTCCAGCTAACATAATACCTGGCACATAGTAGGTGCACAGTAGATCTTGGTTGAATGGAATGGGCAATGAGGTAGGCAGGGAAAAAATGGCCCCCAAAGATGTCCAAGGCCTAGTCCTCAGAACCTGTGAAAGTGTTACCTTACATGGCAAAAGAGATGCTGCTGGTGTGATTAAGTTAAGGATCTTGAGATGGGGAGATTGACGTGGATTATCCGGCAAGCCCAGGGCAATCGCAGTGGTCTTCATGAGAGGGATGCAGGAGGGTCAGAGTCAGAGAAGGACATGTGACTTCAGAGGCAGCAGGGGAGGGAGGATGAGAGGGGGAGAGAAGGGAGAGGGAGAGAGAAAGATTTGAAGATGCGACACTGCCCACATTGGAGATGCAGGAAAAGGAGTCACAAACCCAGGACCCCAGGCAGCGTCCTGGAAAAGGAAGGGGAGAAAGGGAAACAGACTCTCCCCTAGAGACTCCAAAAGGGATGCAGCTCTGCCAACATCCTGGATTCATCACTTCTGGCCATTAGAACTCAAAGATAATACGTTTGTGTGGCTTTACGGCACCAAGGTTGTGGTGATCTTTCCGGCAGCAGTAGGCCACTGATACAGGGAGGGGTGAGTAAGCAGGGCACGGGATGGTTCCCTGGGGTGTGAGAAGAAGGTGGTAGAAAGTCTTTTCATAGTTATTTTTCATTCTGAAGTAAATATCACTGGACTCCTTTTCTATGATTCGGACACTGTCCCAACCCAGGCCAGCTGTTGCTTGGGTTTCACACTGGGCTTCTCCTCATGGACGTCTTGAAGACCTTCTCTCCCGCCCCCTTACCTCAAGACCTCAAGAGTCTGACTTCTCATCTCACACGTGTAGCACCTCGTGGTCTCTTCCTGCTACGAGCTAAATTGCCTTTTGCAAGATGTGGCTGTCGTAACGGCAGCATGGGCCACCGCCTGGGACCCTACAGTTGACACCACACCCTGGGGGTGCAGGGCGGTGAGCGGTAAGGTGCCTGGGGTCACAGCTCATGGACAGGACTGCCCAGCCATGGCCTCTGCTCCAGAATCAAAACTTCCGTGTCATTTAAGTGACTGTCATTCGGAGTCGCTCTGACTCGTGACTAAGCCTAAACTCACCTCATTCAGGTCATAACAGGAAAGAGCCCAAGGCAAATGAGAATATATGAAGCAAAAAAAAAGAAAAAGAAAGAAAAAGACTGACTTCTCTTCCTCTCAAGTTTATGACCTGCTTTCATACTACTGCCTGTGATGCTGGAGGTAGCCTGTGGAGTGAGTCCTGGATTCATTTCATCTGATTCAAGCCCTGCTCTTCCAGCTCCAAATCCAGCCAAATCTGGTATTCCTGTGACCACCTACGGGACTTCAGAAATATGGCCCCAGCCCCTTGTCTCCAGAACAATGGCTGTGGCGTGTGCATCCCTCCCACTGTGACAACCAGACACCTGCTGACCTGTGGTGGGCTGAAGCATCAACAGCTCTGGTGAATCACACCTCCCGGGTTGCTTGTCCTTGTGTGATCTCCGACCACACTGAGTCTAGACATGGCCACACAACTCTCTGGCCACTGAGAAATCAGAAAATATGACACAAGCAGAGGCCT